GAGCTGATGGGCATTCACAGTTCACGCAGCAAGTGAGGAATTCCTTAGGCCTGGGACCCGGGAACCTCAGGAGAGGCTGGGCTCCGGAGCCGCATGGGAGAGGAACCTCACCCAACTGGCTCACCACGCCGTCCCTACAGACTCCTCATTTTCAAAGTCTCATGGGACGGACTCACCGTCCTTTACTGTGGTCAGATGGTCTAAAGTTTAGACCATCTCATTAGTCAACAGAGCCAAATATCAACAGTACAACGATTGAAATTTCTTTTGAGAGCCAAATTTTTTAAACATAAAATATATAGGTAGGTACATTGTTATCAACTTAATTAGGGTACTCCTAAGGCTTAGGAAGAGCCACACTCAAGGGGCCATAGAGCTGAATGTGGTTAGGGAAGCAGCAGGTTTGTTGGACTTTGTGTCTTCTCAGAACCTGAGCCTTCCTGTGGCTCCACCATCCCACCTTCCCCATAACCTTCGGTGAAGGCCCCCCAGTGATGCCCACTTTACAGACGAGGAAACTGAGGCACAGGAGTCAAGCGCTGCCCAGGGTCTGAACCAGGCTCTGCCTCTGCATCCCAGCCTGGTGTCTGTTTTTGTTTTACTTGCACAAGGAGCACTGGAATAAGGCAGGGCAGAAGTTAGGACCCCTGCAGACCCTTCCCCAGCTTCACTGACCGGAACCGCCCCAGGACAAGCATACCAGGCCCTTCCCTCTAGAAGCCGAGGCCCAGGGTCCCTGTCCCAGCGTCAATACCCTCCGCGTCCCGGCGGGCGCTGCCCCTCTGCGGACAGGGCGGGACCGGACCCGGGCTCAGGGGGACCTGGCCGCCTACCTTGTCGGCGATGGCCTGGATCTCGGCTGTGGCACGCTTAACTTCGGAGGGCCCACCAAGTGTCGGCACGGGAGCGCTCATGGCGGAGCAGCGGGCACGGAGCAGCAGGCACAGACGGGAAGAGCAGCGGCCACAGAGCAATGGCCGGCCTGCGAGTGAGAATAGCAGCGAAGGCAGAGCGAGGGTTATAACTGAGAGCACCGCCCTCTGTCGTAAGTCCAGGGCTCAGGTGCGCAGGGAGGGCGGTACGGTGGGAGGGGCGGGACACTAACACCGGTTCGGGGTGGGGTGGGGTGGGGTGGGGTGGGAGAAACAAGTAGGGTAGGGCTGGGGGAGCTGGGCGAGTGACGGGCGTCTTGCACAACCTGGTACTTGCCGAGGGCGCCGCCTGGGAACCACTGGCATGAGCTGCAGTGCTTGTTCCCTGTTTGGTGTTGGTCTTACTGGCCGCGGAGACACGCGGGGGAGGTATCCAGCTCTGAGCGCCTCCAAAATGTGCCACTTTCGCTTGTTGATTATGTTGAGCAGAGGGCGATCAAGACCCAGCCATGGGGTGGGGAGAACTTCCACCTCTCCCTTCATGGCATTCAGGGAAGGCCCTGGCCGGGGTGGCTCAGTCCTTTGCAGCTTTCTCCTGTGCACCAAAGGGTCGTGGGTTCAACTGCGGGTTCCATATCCCCCTGGGGCCCTAAACTGGAGACAACTGATCAATGTTTCTCTCTCACGTTGTTTCTCTCTTGCTCTCCCTCTCCCCTCCTCTCTCTAAAATAAAGGGGGGAACAAAAATAAAATGATTATATTAAATCATTTGGGTAGGGAGCCTGGTCCAGAAAGAGAGCAAAGATCAGAGAGAACTTTTTTTAATCTGAGACTCAGCTGCATGGCAGGGCAGACAGCTGGTTACCAAACATCTGCTCTTCCCTCTTCCTGTGATTTGTCCTCCTCCCTGTGAAGCTGCAAACCCACACCCCGGGCCTGAGCTCTGGAAGCTATGACCTTCCCTGCCACACCCCCTGCAGGGCAGGTTCCAGGTGGGAGAGACCCAGAGGTGAGTGGGAGCTGGGCCTGAGAGTCCCCAAGAGCAGTGGGTAGAGACGTCTGTGCCCACTGGGCTCCAGAAGTAGCTGGGAACAGAGACTGCCAGGGCACCTTGGAGTCCAGGACCAGGCCTGCCTGGCCTCACTCCCCAGTGCATTGGACTGCTTTGCACTTCTCATCTGCAAGACCTGGTCCAGCACCCACCTTGCATCAGCCACTCTGGATGTCACCAGTGTGTGATCCAGGGACAAAGAGAAGGGCTGACGTGTGTGAGCAGAGGAGGCACAAAGGAGTCCAGTGATGTGATGCCTCCCAGGGCCTCATGTTGGGGTGGGAGTGGCATTCCAGCTACACCCCTCCCCCACTCCAGGGCTGCACCTCAGGGGATTCTGGGCCTCTCCCACCACAGGGTGCTGACTGCAGGAGCAGGCCCAGCCTTGCCTTCTGTAGGGCTCCGTGCAGAACCCCAATGGGAGTGGCCCATGAGCAGGTAAGCGGGAGAGGCCAGCTTTTCCGGTACTTGCCAGGGAAGAGCCTGGTTTGTAATTCAAGGAAGGGTGGGAGGACAGGTGTGGAAGGGAAGGAGAGACCCCTACAATTCAGTCATAATTCAATGACTGAATGAGTGAAAAAGGGGCTACATAGCAGACCTGACAGGCTCTGGGCGCTGCTTGGTGAGCCTGAAAGTAACCACAAAGGTGATTCCTTCATAAATACGTAGTTGGGCAGGTCATGCAGGTAATCACATCCTAGGCCTATAGCAGGGGTAGGCAACCCCAGGCACGTGTGCCAAACATGGCATGCCAATAACTTTTGCTGGCACGAGAAACCCTCTGTTATAATCTTCCATTAACAATTTTTTCTTTAATCGACTTTTTTAAAAAATATATATTTTATTGATTTTTTACAGAGAGGAAGGGAGAGAGATAGAGAGTTAGAAACATCGATGAGAGAGAAACATCAGTCAGCTGCCTCCTGCACACTCCCCACTGGTGATGTGCCCACAACCAAGGTACATGCCCTTGACCGGAATTGAACCTGGGACCCTTCAGTCCGCAGGCTGATGCTCTATCCACCGAGCCAAACCGTCTAGGGCCGACTTTTTTATTTTTCAGATAAATTCAGTGTAGGTGCATCTTAGATAAATAAATAATTTTACATAACAAGTTATCTTAAAGACCATAGACATGGATAGACGAGAGAGGGGAAGAGTAATTTCTATGCCTCTGCCTTAACTCTCCCTCTCTCCCTAGATCCGACCAGTGTTTTGGTTTCATCCACATATGCTTGTGAATCTTTGTTCTCAGTGATGAATTTTGTTAAGTCTCATAATAGGAGTAGCCTGATGGATGAAAGTAGTAGCTCATGCATTCCTCTGAATGTCATGAAATATAAACCTGATGTAAAATCTCTGTCATCAGTGATGCAGCAGCAAAGGTCCCACTGATAATATCAAAGGGAGTCATAAAGTTTTCTGTCGGACTATCAGTGTACATGCATACATTAAAAAATAAATGGCCCTGAATGGTTTGGCTCAGTGATAGAGCGTCGGCCTGCAGACTGAAGGGTCCGAGGTTCAATTCTGGTCAAGGGCACTAAAAAAAAAGAAAATAAATAAATAAAATATAAATGTATTTTTCATCATCATATACTGTGTTTGTGTCACTTGAATGAATTTTATTATTTCCTCAAGGTTCTTCACATACATACACCTTAAGAGATACCAAGGAGGTGTAACATGTTCTCAAAAAATTAGGGTTGGCACGCAGGAGAATTTTGAGTCAGAGATTTTGCCGGTTTTGGCACGCACTCACAAAAAGGTTGCCCACCCCTGGCTTATAGCTTCCTTAGTGAAAGGCCAATCTTTACCGTATACAGCCCTGCCCATTGTTCTTATGCATCTAGGATAAGATACCTTTGACAAGTCAGGGTGAATTTCTTTTCCAAACCCCTTGGAGGCATAGCCACATTGGCACCAGTTATGCTGATGCCCACATACCATCTCTACTTACTGTAAATGTTAACTATCCTGTAGTCACTAATGTAAAGGAAGTGGGTGCTTCTCCATTTTGCTTCCTGGTAGTCGACCTCTTACACGTGTTGTCGCAGCTCCTTGCTGGGGAGGTAAGTGTGGCCTGCAAGCCTCCTCCCTGTGTCTCATGGACTCCCTCTGTATGACCTTTTCCTGTGCTGATTTGCTTTGTGTCCCTTTGCCATAATAGATCATAGCCCTCCATCTTCGTAGCCCAGTAGATCAACAGGCTTGGGGTTCCTGACATGTGGCCCTTTACAGAAAAAATCTGCTGAGTCCATTCTGCATGAACATAAACACTACATTGTCACACCTAAGAAAATAAACAATTATTTTGCACTATAATCCAACATCCAGTCCATATGCAAGCTTTCCCAATTGACCCCCAAATGACATAGAGCTTTTTCTTTGCACCAGGATCCAATCAAGATTTGTATATGCAAATATGTAAAGGAGTATATCCCCTCCTTTATATAGGCGTTCATTCCCTCCTTCATCCATGACTTTAACTCTGTGATGATATCAGGACGGTTGTCTTGCGAACTGTCCCAGACTAGGGTCGTGACTGTCTTCTTGTGCACCCTGCTCAGCCTTCCTGTGTCCTGGCAGCTGGGGTGCAGCCCTGAAGGCTGGATGAGGGTCAGGTTTGACTGCCCACAGGTGCGGCTGCTGCGTGGGAGAGCCCCCCCCCCCCCAAGTGGCCGGCCATTTGGGGCAGAGACTGATAGCTTGGACCACCTTTCTTTAGCCCTTGTGCCATTTTCTGATGACTTTCGCCCTGAATCAAAGATTCACTGGGGGCTGCACAGGGTTTTCTCCAATCCTTCCATTTCCTTCTATCTGTGCTCGCTGGCTTTCTTTGTTAAAAAACCTCTGTCATCAACCAGGTTAAACTACCGCCCCACTGAAAGGGGGGCACAGGTTCAGTGATCTTTTAATTACAGCTGTTTAGAGCTGTCATTGCGGTGTCCGGCCACTACGGGGCGATGACGTGAGGCCGGGGAGAGGTCCTCCCAGGCGCCAGTAGTCAGACAGCGCGTCGAGGCGAAGCGCAGCGGCGCTGTCCTTGGTACCTGGGTCTCTCAGTGTTGATCGCCATGTTTCCGCGGGTGCAACTGCCCCCTGAGATCCAGCTGGTGCAGCGCCTGGCGGGGAACGAGCAGGTGACCCGGGACCGGGCGGTGAGGAAGCTCCGGAAATACATCGTGGCCAGGACTCAGCGGGCTGCATGTTGGCGCGTGGCCTGTGGGGCCGCCTCGGGGACTGGGCCTGCCGGGTGGGGGCGCTGTGCGGCCCGGCGGGACTGGGGGCTGCGGAGGCGGGGCGGACCCGGCTCTGTGGCCTCCGACCCACGTGGTCTGGCGCACCTACGGGGGTATTTCCACTGCCCCTCCCCGCGGCATTTGTCACTTGTCAGTAATGCGCCTTGTGTAATTGTTGGGTTGTCATTTGAGTTTCACTGTAGCGTGCGCTCCGCGAGAGCAGAGAACATACTTGTTAACTGGTCTGTGTAACCGCGGTTCTCAAAGTGCGGCACCCCCTCGGGAAAGGCAACATAGCGGGGACCTTTGTTGGAAAGGCAGTTTCTTGTTCTCATCCCAGCCTTGATGGATCAGAAACTGGCCTTAGGGTCCGTGATCCCTGTGTTAGGAAGCCCCCAAGTGATTCTAACACTGGCGCTCAGGTCTGAGAACCACTGCTCACTGAACACAGTGCCAGACACAGGAACTCAGTCAATATTTTGAGTGATTTTATTTGTCTTCATCCCGTGCTAGCCCGATGACTTAACCTTTTCTTTTGAAATTTGAAGTGTAATGCAGAAAAGTGCACAAACCCCAAGTGTGACGCTGGATGAATTATCACCCTAAGATAGCCAGCCACCATCCAACTCAGGAGGTAGTGACTCACTCAGTTTTGAATCTCCAAAAACGTACAGTGCCTGATGCTTGGAGATTCTCAGTTTTTATTGAAAGGATGAAATGGCAGTTGCCTGGGGGAGTCCCTGCAGGCCCAGGTCCAGTGGGTTCCAAGTTAGGAGGATGTCTGAGAGGAGAGGGAAGGTCCCTTGGTCCCTGGTACTAAAAGGCTGGGGTCCACTTAGTCTGAATGTTGCTGTTTTGGTGCAGGTGGTTTCACTCATGACGAGCTGCTGAAGGTGTGGAAAGGACTGTTTTATTGCATGTGGATGCAGGACAAGCCACTCCTCCAGGTGAGCATACGGGAAGGCAGAAGGAGCTGGAGCAGCAGTCTCAGTGGGAGGACAGATGGGCATGTGGTTGACTCTGGGCGAAGTTTACAGCTTTTTTATTTTTTTCTTTGGCCTTTATTTATTTATTTATTTATTTATTTATTTATTTACTAGAGGCCTGGTGCACAAATTTGTGCATGGGTGCGGTCCCTCAGCCTGGGGGGGGGGGGGCAATTGGGCTGTCTGACAGGTGGAGGGACTGTGGGAAGTTGGCTGTGGCAGCACATTGACCAACCCCCTGGTGGTCAGTGCGCGTCATAGCTACCGGCCAGTGGTCCACTCATAACTGTCACTTGGGCTTATATATAGAGAGATTTATTAATGGCAGGAAGGTGAGGACCTTTATTAGAGAGGGTCTTATTTTTGTTGAGTTGAGCACCATAGCCACACAGGTGCTCATCAGTGCAAGTCAGCGCCCGGGTGAAGCCTGGGTTGTCTGTCGAGTTTGTGAGAGATCACAAACAGCCCTGAACGATGGAAACCAAGGGAGGGGTCTAAGTCCTCTGAGACACAAATTTCTCCTGAAGCCTTTTCAACTTGTCTTTCCTTAAAAAGAAAATTATTTTTAGAGCAGTTTTAATTTACAGAAAAACTGAGAGGAAGGTACAGAAGTTTCCCGTTATCTCCTGCCCCCCCCCCCCCACATGCACAGCTGCCTTTGTTACCAACATCGCCCACTAGATGGTACATTTGTTATAATCGATGAACTAACACTTGACACATCATCGTTATCCTCAGTCCATAATTCACCTGAGGGTTCACCCCTGGGGTATGGTCTGTGGTTTGGACAAATGTATAATGACATGTATTCATCACGATGGTGTCTTACAGAGTAGTTTCATTGCCCTAAAATGGTAGCCTTTGTAAAACAGTGTTTATTAGAATATGAACTGCTTACTCTTCTTCAAGATCCCCTGGGTGGGGGGCAGTATTGAAAGTGCAGAATCCTGCACTGTATTCCATTCCTCTAAACTAGAGTCTCAGGGAAGGCTCTGGAATTATCCATTTAGCAAATGCACCGAGTGCTGCTTGGCCAGTGACACAGGCAGACAGTGAGTAAGACCCCCAACAGGGGTGTGGTTGGCTCCCTCTTTTTATTATTATTTTAAAAATATTTTTATGGATTTTAGAGAGGAAGAGAGATAGAGACATTAATGATCAGAGAGAATCATTGATGAGCTGCCTCCTGCACACCCCCTCCTGGGGGTCAAGCCGGCAACCCAGGCTTGTGCCCTTTATCAGAATCAAACCTGGGACCCTTCAGTCCGCATGCCAAAGCTCTATTCACTAAGCCAAACCTACTAGGGCTGGTTGGCTCCCTCTTTCTGCTGTTCAGGTGGCTGCATGTCCTGAGGCACCCTGCTCTGGCCTGCCTTCTCTTATTCTTGCCTTTGATGACCAACCTCTGTTGCTCAGGGCTCAGCCGGATCATGAGGGCAGTGACTGCCCTGTTGCAAGGTTCTGCTGGCCCCAGCTGTAGAGGGAAGCCCTTCGCATCAGGGATGTAGCTTGCAGACCTCACGCACACTGGGCTGAAGCAGCCAGTGAAGCCTGTCTCATGACGGGTGGACCGCTGAGTGTGTTGCTTGTTGTTGTGAGGCCGCATTTCTTCAGGGGCTGAAGGAGATTATTTTACTGTTTCCTGCACAGGTGGAACTAGGAAGGACCATCTCCCAGCTCGTCCATGCTTTTCAAACCACAGAGGCACGTGAGTATCCTTACCCCTTGGGAAGGCCAGGACCACCGAGTCAGTAGCTTCCACACACAGTCGCCTGGGCTCTAAGATCTAGAGCAAGAGAGAAGTCCCCATGGTAGCTGGTGTCTGCTGGTGCTTATGTGTGAAACCCTTCAACTCGTATTAACTCTTTTACCTAAAATACACTCTGCTCAAAAGTCTAAAGGGCTAATACCCTACATTTTATTTATTTATTTATTTATTTATTTACTTATTCATTTATTTATTTATTTATTTTAAACTAGAAGCCCATTGCAGGAAGATTCCTGCAAGAATAGGGCTTGGCTCACTTCTCTGCCATTCCTACCCCACAAGTCTCTGCCGCTCCTACACCGCCAGTCTCTACCATTCCTACCCTGCCCCCCTCTGCTAGTCCTACCGGCCCATCTCTGCAGCTCCACCCCTGCATGTCTCTGCTGCTCTTACCCCGCCTTTCTCTCCGCTTCTCTCCTGCCTATCGCTGCTACCTCGGCTCCATTGCTTGGCTTCCTTCTATGGTGTCTTCAGTCTTCGCTCCCAAGGGGTATATGCAAATTAGCCACATCTTTGTTGGTGGTTAATTTGCATATCACTCTGATTAGCCAATGGTGGGCATAGCGACGATGCAGTCAATTTGCATCTTTGTCTATTATTAGATAGGATATATTTTTATTGATTTCAGAGAGGAATGAAGAGGGAAAGAGAGAGAGAGAAAGATCAATGATGAGAGAGAATCACTGATCAGCTGCCTCCTGCACACCCCCTATTGGGGATGAAGCCCGCAACCTGAGCATATGCCCTTGACTGAAATTGAACCCAGGACCCTTCAGTCCACAGGCTGACTCTCTATCCACTGAGCCAAACCTGCTAGGGCAATACCCTACATTTTAAAATTAAAGTGGCAAGCTGGTGTGGTATTACTAAGCTGCTGGACTGACTCGCATCTGATCGTTGTGAAGTTCGTCAGTGAGCCTTTTCTCTTCTGACCACGATCAGCAGTTCTCGACACTGCCGCTTGCTTACCCATGGGGTCACTTGGGAGTCTTTAGAGTCTTGATGTCCAGACCCTGCTGTCCTTAAGTGGAGCTCTGAGGGCAGGGCCTAGGCACCAGCTTTGTGCCACCCTCTGCTGCATCACTAAGGGTGGCCAGGGCCGGGGAGCATCACTGGCATAGGCACTAGGACCATTGCTAGTGGTTTAGTTCAGACTTAAATAGGCAAAGGATCAAAATTTGCTGGGGGGTTGGGGGGCGTGCACAGAAATCACAGAAACTCCTTTCTCAACTTGGCAGAGTCTAACTGTATTGGAGTCATTAGTGGAGGAGAATATCTACCTTCTGTACTTTTTACCTTCTAAGAACCTGCAGAAGAGTCTGCTCAGCAAAAGGCAAAGTATAGAGTGTTCACCTAGTGACACTGGAATGAGTCAGTGAAGGCAGGCCCGTCCATTGCTGAACCGTCTGATCAGCTCTTTGCTGTTGGGGAAGCCTGTAACGGGAAATAAGAGATGCCCTTTGTGTCCTGATGTTAGGGTGTGGGCAGGGCTGGTTTCTCCTGAGGCCTCTTTCTTTAGCATGAAGATGCTGTCTTCTCCCTGTGTCCTCACGTGATTGCCCCTCTGTGTCTGTGTCCTGATCGCATCTTATAAGGACAGCAGTCTGATTGGATGAAGTCCCACACAGTGACCTTATTGTATCTTAACTACCTCTTTAAAGACCATACAGTGGGGCCTTGACTTACGAGTGTCCCAACTAACGAGCTTTTTGAGATACCAGCTGTCTCTCGGCTGATTTTTTGCTTTGAGTTGACACAGTAATTTGAGTTAATGAGCTCCTTAATGAGCTCAGTCTCAGAATGAATTAAACTCGTAAGTCAAGGCCCCACTGTATCTATAATAATAATCTATAATAATAAACGCATAATATGCTCATTAGAACAGATGTCTGGATGAAGCTGGGACTGCCAGGGAAGCCCAGGTCCTGGGTGCCAGAGGAAAGCTGGTGTCAGCAGCCAGGGGAAGGAAGGCTTACTCTTATACGAATTTTCATACATTGGGCCTCTAGTCCTATACTAATAAAAGACTAACATGCAAATTGACTGTGCTTTTGCTATGCCTTAAGTAACACCCACCAGCCAATCAGAGCAACTATATGCAAATAAACCCAACCAAGATGGCGGCCGGAAGCCATGGAACTGGAGGGAGCAGGAGGCTTGCTTTCCCCACTGATGGAGGAAGCCAAGTTTTTCCGCCTGTCGCGGCCTGGCTCTGAGCTCCACTGTAAGCGACAAAGTTTCAATTATAGAAGGTAAACAAACCCCAGATACCTGCTTTCAGCCAGCCGTGGCCACAGAGCTGGAGGAGCAGGAGTGGGTTGCTCTGGCGATGGAGGAAGCCAAGCTTTCCACAGGCCTCCGCTAAAGGCAACAGAGTTTCAATTATAGAAGGTAAATAAATCCCAGAATAAAAAAAGGCAAAAAGAAAAAAAGGAGAGGCTGGGAGCTTACGTCGCCAGGGTGCTTGGCCAGCGTAAAAATGGCCCTCAGCCCTTCACCCAGATTGGTCAGGCATCCCAGTGGGGACCCCCACCCTGAAGGGGGTGTGGGCAGCCTGAAAACAGCCATCAGCCCCTCACCAAGGCTGGCCAAACCTCCATGGGGTGAGGGTCCCCACTGGAGTGGACATCCTCCAAGGGGTCCCACACTGCAAGAGGCATAGGCCGGACAGAGGGGCCCTTGAGTGCACAAATTTTTGTGCACTCGGCCTCTAGTAACATT